GTTGTAATACTATATCTAGATAGGTATTAATGCATTCTTTAGATACTGTTTTTAATTTGAACAAATGAATTATTTAAAAAAACTTGCTATCAAGTCTCTTATAAGAAACATAATATCAAACAATGTATAATCTGTCATTAAATAAGAAACGACTGTTTAATTTGCGAGAATTATTGTATTTTATGTTATTTTTAAGACTGTAAAGTTTGCTCATGATTTTAATTAACTTCTCCGTAAAAAATTTATAGTAGACATTTTTTTTGATTATGAGAAGCTAGTTTATTAATTTTTTGTGTTAAAGCGAAAATAACAAGAAAAGTATATTTTTCTTAGAGGAGGTCTCCCCTACCGAGTCAATCCGGGGGCGAACTCGATTGGTTCGCCACTGAGCACGATAATTAATTAAAATATTCTATATTTAGATTCTGGCATTCATCAGCTGCTTATGCACTTGCACAAGCCGTACAAAATGACCCAGAAAATTGTACGCTGCCATCAAACGGCGATGTAATATACCGCTGGCCCGAAGATATCTTAAAACCAAATATTTCATTGCTTCTTAATGTTGATGAACATGAACGTATAAAACGGCATAATAAAAGAAATACGACGAATACAGCTGAAGAAAAACTTTTAAAGAATGATGGTCAATTCAGACAGAAGTAAGACTACATTTTTGATTGTTATAAAAATCATCAGGGTAAGGGCTCCAGCCCTAAGACTGATTGGCCACGCACCCCTATTTCTTCCCAACTTGGGTCAATCCTTACATTTCTCGAAACTTACTGACAGTACTCTAATCTAGGTGTTTAAGTATACCTCAGTGCCTCTTAACTTCTTATTCTGCTTCCAATAAGTCTCTAGAAGAGTTGAAACAGACATCTGCAAATGCGAAAGTTCTGCATACATTTTCACATCTGGTTCCGTATTTCTATAACGGAAACTTAGCTGAACTTAACATAATCTTATTTCTCAACCTTTTGAAACCAGTATATCGGAACAATAAAGTCCTAAAAATTTATAACTTTTATCTGTCGGCTGAACTTAGCCGTTTTCAAAACACAATTTAAATGGAATTGCTCGTTCCAAAGCTGCATGTGTATCAACCGTTTATGTTTATGAAGTATTAGCGTCAATACAGCTTGCGATATAGCCTGCAAAATTTTGTTAATAATAATGTTGTTCCTGTGCATTATAGGTTAGGGCCTAAATCTATTTCACCTAGTGTCGATATTTTCCAAATTTTATTCTCTTATTAGTTTTCTACTTTAATGTACAAACGTTTAGGACTGTCGGCTCCCCCATGACCAGTTCTTCTAATAATTTTATTTCTACTAACACACTTATAACGTTTATTTATTTTGTATAGTGTTTGCTCAGTGGTGTAAATTCTAAGTTGAAAGTGCAATTTTGAAGTCAAAAAGAAGTTCCATTTGGGATTATTTTGTTGATATTAACGATGCAAGTGGTAAATCCAAATTTGTAACAAAATATTCCCAAAAAAAGCGCACGATCACTGCATTAAAGAGTCACCTAAAATTATTACACTTTCGCTTCCGCAAAAATTTACTATTTACTTCTGTTTCCGGTAAGACACTTCCGTTGCATCGCTAACTCTAAGTAGCCCTTTATGCTAGAGGCGCTGTCCTACCAACCTATCCCACCTATTTCTTACTGGCCTGTAGAGCGCCCTCTATTCTTTTGCCTCACTTTTACCCACAGTATTTTGACATCATCCAATAACACCGTGTCCCAAACGCTTCTAAATTAAAACTTAAATTTTTTAAAACGTAGAACCGTGGATAGAGAAGGTTAGAGAATTGTAAGCAATGAAGAGGTATTAGAAAGAATAGGAGAACGGAGGACTCTATGCAAGTCAGTAAGAAATAGGCGAAATTTAGCGCAGGATAAGAAAGAGTGGAGGTACGTGTCCAACCAGTCTTAGGACTGACGACCTTATGATGATGATGAGGATAATGAGAACTAAAAGGTGTTTTAACGTTTTGATCTGTGTAATTTTTGCAGTGTTGTAAAGGCGTATAAAAATATGTACGACCCGCCAGTTGAAATTATTGACGCTAATCCTTCGACCGAAGAAATACTCGAGGATATTTACCATAAAATCAAACACCTTCTTTAAATATTAATTTAAGTTTTCAGAAAAATTGTACTTGTTTACATGTTTGTACTTACTTACTTTAGTAATTGGTTTAAGTAATATAAATTATTTAAATTTCTTTATTTATTAAAAACAAGTATTGTTTTTAGTACTGCTATCTTACAATAAATACGTACAAATAACTTTCCTAACTATTCATTAAGTTACAAAGTTCAGTACGGGATGACTTTATAAGGATTTAATATTCCGTTAGGGTCCATTACATTTTTTAAAACCCTCATAAGCTTGGTCGCAGATTGATGGTTTGATATATCCAGGTATTTTGCTTTCAAAAATCCCATTCCATGTTCCGAACTAATACTTCCGTTTATTTCTCTGACTTTTTCGAAAACGAAAGGTTCTATCATGTTCTGTATTTCTTTGGTGTGTTCTCTTACACTTACTTGAAGATGAAGATTGGAGTCTCCTGTTCATATAAATAAAAACAATTTGAAAAGTCGTACAAAATAAATCAACACTGATAATTATAAAACAATAAGATACTGCAATCTGAAACGTTAGTTAAGGGTCGTCTGTTCAATACACACTCGAAAAAGGAAATGGGGGAGATAGACCCTTATTACGGTCGATTTAAAATTTATCACGAAAATTGTATTAAGCGATGTTCAATACAAGTATCACTAATATATGTATCTGTCTATGTGTTAATAAATGTTCTGCTTGTTACAAAAAATATTAATTATTATAAATTTAATATTTTCCTATTTTTCCTAAGTAATACGTAAGAAGACTCCTAAAAAAGGAAAACTGGAAGTTCTTTTCAAAAATAATAATACCTACAAACACCACTTAAGTTTTCCCATATCTACAATTATAGATAACCGTGCAACCAGTCGTTCGGCATTCTTTTTTAATTATCGTTGCATATCAAGAACCATAACATGATAAATGGTAACTATAAATGCCTGGGACATATGGAACCACTAACAATACTTCGCAGTTGCTATTAAGTCAATTGTAATATTGGTTAATAATACGTATTTAGACGCATACCCAAATGTCCAAATCCAAAGACCCTGTGGGACTTTGAACCCATGTGTGTTTTCATCAAGTCAACCAGAGTGTAAAAATGTTGTAATGGTACGCTGAAATCGTAACAGAATACGTAACCATCGTGGCGCAATGCTTCGGCTGTTCTCTCACGAATTTCCCATATATTCTAAAGGAAATTATTGGTACTTAAAAGAAAGTACTGTGTACTAATTAAATGGGTCGATTCTGTCAGCAAAAGTGCAACCATACGACGATGTAACTATTGAAACCAATACAATTACAAAATCCAAAGTACTTTTTCTATTTTAAATACTCTTTGTAAATAATAATTTGCATTTATGTTTGGTAGGCTTTAAACGGAATAAAGTCGGGTTATTCCCCATTGTATTATACGATTGTTATTCATGTAATCATTATCATCGACTAACCTTTTTTTATGGCAATAAATTATAATGTTTGTTTTCATTTTTCGAAATACTTGAGCTCCTTTTTCTTTACGCACAAAATTATTAATTAAAATAGATAAGATCTTCCGAAATATCAATAGCATCAAAGATTATCTATTCAAAAGATGTAACATTGTTCTGTATGAATATTACTCCTTTGAAACCAATTTATGAACTTTACAGCAAAGTTCAGCAGAGTTACTAATTTTATTTTGAAAACTATTAAGCAAATACCAAATGTATTGTAATAACATTTTTCTGAAGGTTGGGAAAATTGAAGCAGTTTTACTGATGTTTTACATTATCTTACTTTTATTTTTGACGGTTCCGAAGATGCCACACCATTTAAAATCAAATTTTCCTTCAACGAGATCTCTAGAAATTTATCCATTTTTTCTGAATCGTATTGCTCATTGCTTCCAGATGTTTCTATAATCAAATAAAATGGATATTCTCCTATAGGTGAGCGCAAAGCAAGCTTTTCCTCGGTTAATATCACACTTTCCCTGTCTAACACTTCCACAGCTGATAACGTCTCTCCTAAATCGAATTTTGCTTTTTTAAACGTTTTTAATACTTTGTCGTAACTCTCCAACCCTACAATAATACATTAACATAGTAATATATATTTTTTCCAAATAGTAAAACAGTTAGTCAATATTATTAAATAATAAGCAACAAAAAACCTATAAAAAAATAGTCGTATTTATACCTAAAAACGCAATGTTCTTCGATTTTGGATGCGGTGGACATTGCAGGGCAATTTTTGTAATTACACCTAGAGTTCCCTCTGAACCGATAAACAGATGTTTCAAATGATAACCGGTGTTATCTTTTTTAAAAGTACGCAAACAATTTATTATCTCACCATCAGCCTTAACCTGAAACATATTTTCATTTTATTTAAAAAGGTTTCAGTGATTACTTTTAATTTATCTCATTTATCAAACTAAAATATTTACTAAAATTATTATTTTGTTATCATTTTTACAACACCAATTATGTACAATACAAATGTAATCATGTATTAATCTTTATGCATCATTTGTGTATTATTTTTTATATTTGCCTTTCCTCTATCTAACAAAATATTTTGTGTTCGTCATGCTAAAAGATTATGAAGGAAAATCATAAAAACTATTACAGAGAAAGATAGATAAAATAAATAAGCAATCTCATTCGAAAACTCGATCATCTGATACCATTTTTATATGACTATTAAAATCGCCCATTAATCTAGTCACCCTCTCCGTAGAACAGTTAAAAAAATTTTGTCGTCCTGCCATGAACAGGTAGGAAAAACAAAGTTTAATAAGTTAGATTGTTATGTGAGTTGGACAACTTTTGCAATTAAAAAAATCTATTCAGATTCTTGTTCGATTAAATTACTGAAACACTTCATTTTCTGAAATAACAATTTTTAGAGATAAGTAGAAATATATATACCGCTTCAACGCCCAAAACATTTCCATGTAAATTCCCATATCTTATCAGTCGTAATCCTCCAGCATTTGTAGATAAGTTTCCTCCCAATTGACAATTTCCTTTTGCACCTAAATCTAAGGGCACAATTAGTCCTTTCTCGGAAACAGCGTTGTTCAAGTTTTCCAGAACACAACCAGCATCAAATATAACCACACCTGTTGAAAATTGCTCATTAAGATTCAAACATCTAAATAAATGAAAATTTATAGTACTATAAGAAAACCAAAGAGACTCAAAGAGATTTAGAGAATTTAACGATGAATTAATAAGAGGTAACAGAAGAACTGGACCTGATTAAAAAACTCCAGTTTAATTAAAAAAGAATAATTTGTTATAAATGAAGAATTCTTACACTTCAATACAACCATATAAAAAAAAGTTGAAAACGACGTAACTTTTTATTAGCAATTGCAATGAGAATATACCAACTGCGGCTTCTCAAAAGTTCTCAAAACACTACCAAGTGCGGCGATTTAATTGCTAACCCCCGAAGGGGAACATTAATTAGGTGATCATTAAGAAACGAGATACTCAACTATCTATAGTATTCCGTGAATTTAAATTTTATTCCTCTGCCCAATGACTAATTTTTTATGCATAAACATCTATTGTAGCGAAAAAAAAATCGAAAAAGAAATACATAATAAGTATTTTTTACGATTTTTAACTTTTAACTTTAAAAATTGTTAAATCGTGCATATTTTTTGAGGCAGTTCTCAAAACATAATAAACTAACAGATTTTTGTAAGAGACCAAAAACAACAGCATAGACAGATACACGAGAGTCAGGTAAAATCGCCGCAGTTTTTATTATTTCATGATATGCCGCAATTGTATACGTCAGTTGCAATATACTTTTTATTGGGTGTTGGGTGCATAATTATGGGCATTATTTTTTAACAGAATTAACGATTAATAGTTTTTTATGGTTGGTCTTTCTGCGTACCAGACACGTCATCAATTTTATGTATTTTATTCATAAGTTCCATTGACAATATTACTTCATCAAAAACCGGCACTCCGGAAGCAACGACGCTAGTATTTCCTCCTTGCGGACAAACGGCAAGGAGATTTTTATTACAGTAAGACAGGATGGCAGAGACCTCGTCTGTTGTTTTGGGTTTAACGACCAAACTGCTTTCCCCTAAAAAATTACAAAGGTTCGTCGAGACAATGAAAAACAGTAAAATTGTCTAATATTTAGTTAGTAATATCTATAAATAAGGCAAAATGTTCACCGAACATAGAAGTTACACATTGATTTATCGGCATTTGTACGTATTTTGCATGAAAAAGAACATTCGTATTAATACTATAAATATGAAACACTTTGACATTTAATTGGGGTTAATATCAAATATTAATGTTAAAATTCATTTAATTTTCTCCCACTACAAACTACCTCACACCCTCGCCGGGAATCGAACCCGGAACCTTTGGTTTTAGGCATTGGTGCGCCGAATGTCTCGGGTTCGATTCCCGGCAAAGATGTGACAACAGTAAGGTAGTTCTTAGTGGGAGAAAATTAAATGAATTTTCACATAAATATTTAATATCCCTATGTTCGATCTTCAGCTCGCTTTTACTTAACAACAATAAATTTCCATTAATAACAGTGATAAATTTTAGAAAGATAAGGAAAATTATCAAACCTTTGGCAAACCCGTACCAATCTTCATTATACTTGTCCAAATTATTAACACCAGTTAGTATACGTGTTTCTCCAAGAAGATCCCTGAAGAATTGTATGTGCTGTGGTTCTAAAGCTTTGAAGTTTCCTCTTTTGACGTTATACTGATCCTTGTTAAGCAAACAGAGAAGGCATTATAATACCATTAAACACAAAAGTGTTAAAAATGTTGATCCTAATCCAATCACATTCTCCAAAATAAAATGTTCTATAGATTTTATTAATGTCTTTTACTCACACGCGCATGAACCGTGTGGTCACTCATCCCGCACTCTTTTTTAACATAAAATTGCAAGATCTTTAATTTAACATAAACTTAAAACCTAAGAAAACTACTATCGAATGTTGATATAAATAAATTCTATTAATAAGGGTGTTTTAAAACTTTCTGACAAGTATTTTTTATACTTTTGTTTTCATACCTTACTTAGACTTCTTTTAGAAGTACTACTGTATCTCCTTGTTTGGAAAAATACATTTTCCACCACAGATATTCTGGATAATGTTACTGCATATTTAATCATCATGTTCTGTTAACGTATTACTAACTGTTTATAATGTTATTTAAATTTATTTCTTGTTATAGTTGTTGAACTTCTTACTGATAAGATAAAATGTTATTAGATTATTATAAAGTATTGTTTACCATTTAAACGTGCACTATTTATTTTTCATATTTACAAAAACAAACAAAAATTTTTTTATGGAATATTCTCAATTAGTATAAAGCATAGACCTAGAATTAAGATCCGGATCAATGAGTAAGTCCAGACGTTTCGTCCGTAAGTGCACCTTCAGTAGATACTTCGTTTACAACGGTATTAACTTTCTGTCTTCAATAGAAGACTATATGCAATTTTCTTTTATAAAAACAATGGTAAATGTCTAGATGATGGGGTGGGTGGGATCGATAGAGGAGGTCTCCCCCACCACTGTACCATAAAAAGTTCGTGGCGGTCTCACCCCCATAATAAGTTATGGGGGTTGAAAGTTGATTATTTTCATAATTTTCATACACTATAATTCAAATAAAATTCAATAAAAAAATATTTTCAAACGGGTGGAGGTGGGGGATCGAAAGAGGGTGGTCACTTGAACAAAACCCGATAACCTAACCTAACCTAACCTAACCTACCCTATTGATAAAGATATTTAAATAATGTTTTATATAACTTTCTCAATATTTTTATGTATTTTTCATTAGTTTTACCTTTGAATATTGTTTAAGAATGACTATATAAATATTTACATGCCTAGAAATGTATAAAAATTGGCAT